ATAATTATTAAAATATTTTAATTTAGCTAAGATACAATTCTCCAGAAATTCTTTCACAAGCAGTTATTTCAATTTTACGTTCACGAGCATTTTTTGATGATGTTAGAATTTTAGTATATATATTAGGTCCTGTTAAAAAAGCAATTACAATTTTAGAATCACGTTCATGTAATCTTGCTGATTGTTTTTGTGAATTAATTCATCTTGGTGCATCTATTAATAAGTTGTCTTTAAGTGATCATTCTATTTTTCGTAAGCAATGTATTGCTATTTTTAATAAGAGATATAATGAATTTGCTGATCCACTTTATTTATTATGTTTCTTTTTGCATCCACAATATAATGGTAAGAAATTTAAAATTATTAAATTTAAAATTAAAATATTAATTAATTATTTTATTTTATATTTTTAGAATCTTATTGGGCACATGGAACATTTAGAGAACTTTTATTAGCTGCAGATGAAATTTTTGAAAAAATGGGCAAAACAAATATTTCAAGACGAGATTTATTATATCAAATGAAATTATATCGTACAAGAGAAGCACCATTTGATATTTCATATAGTATATCAGAAACTCCACTTATTTGGTGGTTTTCTCTTGAAGATAGTTTTCCTAAAAATGAAGATTATTTAGTTCAATTAGCATTAAAATTATTTTCAATTGTTCCACATGCTGCTGGATGTGAACGTGTATGGTCAAGATTAGGGTGGTTATATGGAGTAAGAAGAAATAAATTAGCACTTCATAAAATAGAAAATATGCATAAAATTGCATCATATTACTATTCACATGCTAAGCAAGAATTACCATATTTTGGTATAGAAAAAACAAATAATGAAGTTTTTGAAATTTTAGTTGATGAATATTTAAATTTAGATGAAGATGATTTTGTTGAAATTACTGAAGCAGATTTAAATGAAAGTGAAGAAAATACTAATTTAAGTGAAGAAACAAATTTATTATTAAATAATATTTTAAATTTAGATAAATTTGATAATGAATTTGAAGATGATAATTTTAATATGGATGAAGATTATTATAATGAAAATAGAGAAGAAACTTCTTTAACAAATCAATTACAAGAAGATATTGAATGGGATCCAATTGAAGAAGTAGATAAAATAATTGAAAATATTTAAATTATAAATATTTTGATTTATTTCAATTTTTTATTCTTTTATTTATATATTATATTTTTAAATATTTAGATTTATTTTATATTTTAACTTTTGTAAATTTTATTTTATATTATTATATATAGTTAAGGTTTTTTCCTTTTATTTTAAATTAGGTTTTTTTTATCTTAAATATATGTAATAATATAAATTTTAAATATTTTATTAAAGTATATTTTTTCATATCCCAAATTTGTTATTTATATTCTTTATATTTCAATTTTTTTAAATTTTGAGTGATATTATCTTGACAACTACTATAATATTAAATTTAATAAGCTTTTTTTTATTTGAATTCTATAAATCTATGAAATTCGAATAAAAAAAAGTTTATCAAATTTAACTTGGTAAGTGTCGAGACAACTTTACTCAAAGATTTAAAAAATTCAAAACGTCTATTAAAAAGAGTTGTACCAAACTTTTTTTAAACTTTGAGTGAAGATATTTCGACACCCACCAGGCCAAATTCGATGAACTTTTTTTTATTTGAATTATACAGATACGTAGAATTTAAATAAAAAAAAGTAAGTCAAATTTGACTTGGTAAGTGTTGAGATAACTTACTCAAAGATTTAAAAAATTCAAAACGTCTATCAAAAAGAAGAGCTGCGCCAAACTTTTTTTAAACTTTGAGTGAAGATATCTCGACACCTACCAAGCCAAATTCGATAAATATTTTTTTATATAAATTCTAAAGATACGTAGAATTTAAATAAAAAAAAGTTTATTAAATTTGACTTGGTGTTTGTCGAGATATCTTCACTCAAAATTTAAAAAAAGTTTGGCGCAGCTCTTCTTTTTGATAGACGTTTTGAATTTTTTAAATTTTTGAGCGAAGATATCTTGACATTCACCAAGCCAAATACAATGTACGTTTTTTACTTGAATTCTACAGATTTGTAGAATTTAAATAAAAAAAAGTTCATTGAATTTGGCTTGGTGGGTGCCAAGATATCTTCGCTCAAAGCCAAAAAGTAAAAAAAAAATTGAAAACGTTTCGGATATTTCGCCATTTCGGTTTCGCCAGGTTTCGGAGGTTTCGCCAGGTTTCGGAAGTTTCGCCCATTTCGGAAGTTTCGAAAGTTTCGGAAATTTCAGATTTATTTCGCCTTTGAGAGCATTTCGGTTTCGCCTTTCAGATTTTGAAAATGTATTTCACCCGAAACACTAGCTATAAACATAATTTAATTCTATAGGTTAATCCAAATACAATATTAATAAACAATATAATATATCTTTTATTAGATAATATATTAAAACTCAAATTCTTTAATTATTATATTAGCCAGAATAGAATTCTAATATAGTTTTATTTTACAATTAAGAGTGTTTTATAACTATTCTAATAAAAGCTTAGTTAAGAGTAAAAAGCCCTAATTTCTACTTTGTAAATTGTATAGCTATAATAAATACTTTGTAAATTGTATAGCTATAATAAATATTTTATAAATTGTATAGCTATAATGAATACTTTGTAAATTGTATAGCTATAATGAATATTTTGTAAATTGTATAGCTATAATGAATACTTTGTAATTATTGTAATCTATATTTAATAAAAAATTAAAAGAAAGATTTTTTTTTGATAAAAAAAAAAGAATTTAAATAAAAAAAAGTTTGTTAATTTGGCATGATGGTGTCAAAATATCTTTACTTAAAGTTTAATAACAATTTGATATAGATCTTATTTTAATAAATGGTTTGAATTTTTAAACTTTTAAGATATTTTGCCACTCACCAAGCCAAATTTGATAAAAAATTTTTATTTGAATTTTAAAGATTTGTAGAATTCAAATAAAAAAAAATTATTAAAATTAACTTTTGTAGTTATTAAAATAATATTACTTAAAGTTTAAAAAATTTTAATATATATGAAGTTACACAGGTTTAAATTAATGTATCTTATATTTATTCTATACCTATTAGTACATATCCTATATATATTTTACAAAGATAGAATATGTATAAATTATAAGTAGGTAGAAGTATTATAGCAAAGTTAAAGCTTTTATTTAAAATTTTTATTAATCTATATAAATATTTAAATATTTATAGCAATTGATTTAAGGGTTGATCTTTAGTATAACTAGGCAATATAGAATTACTATAAGATTATAATATAAATAAATAACTATATAACCTAATTTAAGCAAATTTGGGTTAGTTAGGGTTAGGGTGAGGTTTATAGTTTATATTAAAGTTAGATTAAGGTTAGGGTTAGAGTTTTTTTATATTATAATCTTATAATATTTCTATATTACCCAGCTATACTAAAGAAGATCCCGGGCATGGGCACAAGCATAGACATGGGCATGGACACAGGCAGGTATAGTTGTTAGACGAAGCCTAGTTTCATCTTTTGTCAATTAAAATCTTGAATGATGAAACTAAATTGATGAAGCTGCAAAGGATGACGAAACTAATAAAAGACAAACATATAGATAAATGTTGTTGAAACTAATTTAAGAGTATGTGTAAAAATAAAAATAAAAATAAAAATAAACAGAATTTTTAAAAATTACAAAATTTTATTGTATAACAAATGATAAACGCTTGAATTGTTTAAAGGTGTTAGTAATGAGCATTCTATATTGTATTATACTAGTACACTTCATATCGGTTCTGGTGAGAAATCGTTGGTGCTTGCTTTGTAATCTCACAAATTTATTTTGTGCGAGTATATTTTAATTCATATTTGTGTTATTCCATGAGTAATATGGTTTTTTTGACAAGTTATTTCGACCAGTCTCTAACAACCCTAATATTGTCTAGAAAAAATGATCGGAATATTTTCGCTGGCATACATGTAATTTCGGATACTATGGCTTTTTGACAAGGTTATTTCGACCGGTCTCTAACAACCCTAGTATTGTCCAGAAAAAAATGTTCGGTTAATTCAATGAAAATTACTTTTATGTTTTCGCGTTTTTTTTTTTTAACGAGAGCACTACGGTCTATCTTTGCCCATTAAGTGAAAATTGTTCCTGGGCCAATTTTACCATAATGCGGGCTTATTTTTAAAAATTTTCTATTTTTGTAATGAAAAAATTAAAAAGTTAATTCCGACCGGAAATTAGTAAACAATTATGTAATGCGGGCTAAAATTCGGCCGTTAGCCAATCAAAATCGAGGATCTGCCGCGCATTTTGTGCGGCGTGCGCTAAAACCAGGAACTTATATGAATATATCTTGAAAATTCCAGACGTAGAACTTATTTATATTATATTTTATAGTTAGTTTATAATAAATTGGAATTAAATTATATATTGTTGCTTATTTTACATATTTTTCTTTGCACCATTAATTATTTTATTATTTCGTTTTAGCTATGTTTCTACTACTTTATTACCAACTATAATTGTACTTAACATATATTGTTATCTTTTTATACCCAGCTTCTATCATACTGTTGACAAAAGGGCAATTTAGATTACGCATAGAAAATAAAATACGATTAGGCTTTCTAGCTTATTAGTTAAAGCTTTTAAATTCTATAAAATTCACAAATATCTGACAACAAAACAGAGCTTATTGTTATATAAAAATAAATGAATAAATAAATAGTTACGTGCCTTTTGAATTAAAAAAAAAAGCAATCGACACATAATAAATCTACATCCGTATTATCATTAACAATTACTCTATAGACAACTTAGTTCATAGGCAATTAATTTACAGACGGTTAATTCACAGACCAATTCATTTTGTAGACAATATATTTCACCGACAATTTTTTTTATAAATTGCACTAACTTTAAATTTAAACTTAACCCTAACGACAATGACTAGAATTTTGCTTGTCTGTGAAATCAAATGTTGATATAATAACTGTCTATGAAACGAACTCACCTGTGAATTAATTTACTGTGAATAACCTTGCCTGTAATTTAATTCTCTGCGAAGTTATCTGTGATGCAATTGTTGATATGTTGATACTACTAAATAAAGATATTAAATAATAACTCAATAAGTTTGAATTCATATACCTAAATAAATCGCAATTTGAAGAGTATGTATAGGCGAGCATATAGCCAAATTTTCAAATTTATACTATGCGGATCAGCAAACTTATAGAAGCTAACGCTCATATGTATAATGCCTGATCCGTATAGTATAGATGAGGTCCTTCTTAATAAAAAGTTTTTGTTGAAATTGTTGGAATTATTGAATGGTGAAATTAGCTTTTCATTACTAAAATTAATTTAAATTATATCAAAAATTAATTAAAACTAAGCTAAATTAAATAAAATAGTTATTTGATATTTAATTTATAAAAATATTAAAAATGTTGAAATTATTGTTGAAATTAAAAAAATTGAAAATTAATTTCACCAATCTATATTGTATAGTATAGATTTGAAAATCGGCCTATATTATACCAGGGACGAAATGACCTCGTGACTCAAGTGAATAATGACCAATGACCGATCATTTAAAAAGGGAAATGACCTATTGGGTCATTTGAAAAAATACACCATATATCCTGAACCTGAAATTAAACTACTTTTTAAAGCAATTTTAAATATATATAAAAAAAAATGAAAAGTAGTTTATTTTAGAGGTTTACAGTTTCAAAAAATTTTTGTTCGTTAATAAGGGTAGCTTATTATCGGGTGATTATTTTTTTAAAATTAATTAACTAGGTATATACGTACAGTATTAGAGCTCTGCAAGTGTTGGCACATGCCGACCCTAGTATATATGTATATGGTATGTACATTCAACTGATGAACTGTTGAGAAATCAGATATTGCAAATTTTATTTTATTTATTTATTGGTTTGATTTTTTTCTGATTTATTTATTCAATTTATTTATTTTCATTTATTTATTATTTATTATTATTATTATTATTTAAATATAACTTATGTTTCATTTTTTCTCGCTTTTTATTTTTTATATTTTTATATTTTTTTATTAAACTAAGGCTGCCTTTAAATTATTTATGTTTTTGAAATTGACATGGCATGAATGTCGCTAAGGAAAATCTACCATTGGATTTTCAATCTATCTATTTGTTAGAGATTGTGTCTGTTACAAAATAGAATTGAAAGCCCGATAGAAGGTCTTCCTTTAGATCGAGTGATTAATTGAAATGATCCTTACGACAATTTTGCTGAAATTCATATTACGGAATGCAGATATCAAATGTTAGCCAGCAGCACAACTCTATGATAAAAAAAAGATGGTTTCGATCATCTTTTTTTCTCACATTAATGAATTCACTTGATCGGCTAAACTATATAATTAAATATTGAGCTTCGAACTATTAATTAGGTGCTTGAATGCACCCTAAGAAAATAATTTCGTCTTCCTTGCTTGAAGTTAATCCAGATAGTAGAAGATATTTTATATATTGTATGTGCATATATAAGGACGATATTCTTCGCTTTGTATGCCTGATGGTAGACTCCAATCGATATGAACTAATTAATACCCAACCAATTTTGTCGTATCACCCGATTGTAATATGTATAATGACCTAATGACCCAGATGACTTTTATCATTTATAGATGACCTAGGTCATTTGGTCACGATTCATTTTTAAATGACTCGAAATTAGATGATCAAAATGACCGTCATTTTGGGGTCATTTCAGGTCATTTTCCTATTTGTAAATGACCTGGTCATTTACCATCACCAGTTTGTTAGTATGAGTGAGAGATAGTGTTAACTACTGTAGAGGGATCTTTCTACCAAAACAGTCGCTAATTATCATTTATCATGTGATCTTATAATAAATTATATACTATTAAAATGATGTTGCATTGATAGAGTCATATGGTCATTATGTATATTCTTAATAAAAATTATAAAATAATAAAAAATTCCTCATTTTCACAAAATATGGGGGGTTGGCGCAATGGCAGCGCGTCCGCCTCCAGAGCGGAAGGCTGGGTGTTCGAGTCACTCACTCCCCAACTCATTTATTTAAAGGACACTATTCTTTTTTTGGAGGGAGATGTACAGCATTTAAAAATTTACTATTACTTTTTTGGAAAATTGATAGACATTGTGCACGTGTAACAATAGATAATTCGATACAAATTCGATCTAACTCTAAAATCTTAGATGTTGTGCGTGATGTCAATTTTATCTATTTTACCTAGACGCAACGTTTTTCATAATTTACATTATCGTTTCCTAACTTTGAAACCCAAACCTTTATCTTTCATAACTTTAACCTTACTATTAGCATCACAGATCAATCCTCGGTTATTTTCATCGTCTGCTTTTGCTTGTACAGCACCTAGTTCAATATTAATGTCGCAACATGAACAGCGCAGTTTTGTTAGAGGTACGACGGAACGAATAGTTTATGTTACTTGTCCTAATGACGAGGTCGCTGGGAATTTGGCCCGAGGTATTTACATAATGAAAAAATTATGATATTCAAAAAAAAAAAAAGAAAAAGACGTTTAATTCAACCTTTCAAAGGTCTTTTAAAAGAAAAGCTGGTCGCCTGTGTGAATATAATTCCAAAGATCTCTTCACTTTATTGTGAGTATCATAATTTAAAACTTTTTATTTTTTTCTTATATTACGTCATTCCTACATGTTTATAATTAGGGTGGGAAGGCAAAATTGAAGAATCTTCCGAACTCTTGCTCATGATTAAAACTTTGGATAAGGTCTCATTATTTATTTATTAATTTTCTAAATAACGTCTATTACAGTATTAACATATTATCTAAAACTTGATTTTCTTTAGCATCTTGATGAAATAACAGATTATGTAAATAAACATCACGGTTATTCTGTACCAGAAGTTCTTTCAGTAAAGGTAACTTATTTAAAGAAAAAAAATTTTTTAAATTGTGAAAATACTGAGCTTTACAACTTTGAACATTAACAGGTTGATGGTGGAAATGGTCCTTATTTAAAATGGATTAATGATAGTGTTAAGTGATAAGTTCAAAAAATTTCAAACGCTTTAATGCTTTAATAGATATTAAATTTTTTATGCAATTGTAAAATGAAAACGAACAAATGCTTAATTCATATTGAGATATATTGTTTTACGATATATTATGATGTGTTTATAAAAATTAATACGTATTTTCAAACAGAAAATATTGGAAAATTTATAAATCACAAACCATTCTAGTTAGAGTTAACGTTTATAAAAAGATATTACATCTGATTATATCGACATTTTTGGCATTAAAAGGTTTCTAGTCAAACTAACGCCCGATTCTATTTTTTGAGATAGTGTGATGTCGTATGACCAATGTTACGTATAGCCATTTCTGTATTTGTTATGACTCATGTCATGTGTAGATTATCCGATTTTTTTTTTTTTACATGCAACTCGGGTACACGTATGTATGTATTCCCAATATATATTGACTGAATTTAAAATTTTTTTCATTCTAACTTTGAATTAACTTTTACTGAATTTAAATTCTATCGATTTTAATTTTATTTTTTTTAAAATGTCTAATAAACAAACAACAACCTCATCAGAATGCCCTATGCATAAAAAAAATTCAGATCCATCTTCTTCACAAAAATCTAAATGTCCTAATTCATCCGAATCTAATTCTGAAAAAACTTGTCCGATAGTTCATTCAGGAGATGCACTTTCTCCAGATAATCAAATGCCAAAGCTTAGCCAATTTCCAATGCCAGGTCAAAAAATTCCACTTCCAACGTCAAGAGTTATTTCTTCTATTCCTAAAGCACGCAGTTCTGATAATTGGGAATATCCTTCTCCACAACAATTTTATAATGCGTTAGTTCGTAAAGGATGGGATACTCCTGAAGAAAGTGTTGAAACCATGGTAGATATACATAATTTTTTAAACGAGGAAGCTTGGAATGAAATTCTTAAATGGGAACGAATGAAAAAATGGTATGTAAATTATTGTATATTAGAAAAGGGAATTGATATTTGTACCCCAAATTTGATATCCATACAAAAAAATAAAGTTTTTTCGAAGTTATCTCGATAACCACCAAGCAAATTCGATAAAATTTATTATCCGGCAGCTTACTATGATAGTGCTTGCCAAATAACTCGAGTTATTTGGCAGTGATTACGTCATCTGCCAAA